ACCTAACTTTAAAGTCTCCAGAACATCATCTCTTAGCCAGTCATCAACAGTTGCAAAGAGAGGGGACATTGATAAACTGGGTCAAAACTTTATTTCCACTTCTGCTGCATCAGTAACCAAGAGGGATAAATACAAAACCCAAAAAGAAAAAATGTAAGCAAATTAGATGAAATTTTTAGGACTCAACATCCTGATGGAAAGAGGTGCATACAGAAATGCTATTGAAAAGAAAAAAAAGTGTAAAGAAAGCGATTTCAGTGAATGGATTGGTGTTGTCAGTACATTAGGTTAAATGGGGTCCTACATAGTTGCAGAATTGACTAAGTGTGTTGAAGACATTGAAGGGGGGTAAAGCATGTAGTTGCATTCCAAAATTCAACAGTTATAAAATACTTCAGAATGAGCATTGATTTTAAGCTTTTAGAGTTTTAATTAAAAGCCTTTGGAATTGAAATCTATACCCCAACACCCATCTGAAGAGGTTTTCCCTCGCATTTGACAAGTTTATACTAATGTAGTGAAGCAATTTGGATTAATGCCAAAACACCACAAGAAACTAATGAAGACAGTTAACTAAGCAGGCATTAGTTATATGGAACTATATCCACTGTTCTAGAGTGGAAGTCTCAATTCCCTTACTGAGTCCAAACCAGTGATCCCTGAAATCAAACATCAACTAAAGCTAGCTTAAATACCTGGTCACTGAGGTACATTTGAAGGAAGTCATGCCCCATACTTACGAAACAGTCAATAGCTGCCAAGAATAAACACTGGATCCAAAAACAAATTGAAACTCACGATGTCAAAACAAGCCCAAATACTCCAGCTCAAAAAACATTTTCCACCACTGACCAATTAGTATTTATTTTTCTTTTAAATTTTTACAATGTACTTTATTTTGTTGGAGCACAGCATTCAAAGGAAAATGCCAGTCGATGCAGCTTTTAACTTTTGCCATGATCTGATGGCAATTACAAATCTGAAGCCATGACAGTACATGTGCAATTGCACTGGTTTTTCAGTTCAATGCTGGAATACAGGCAGAGACAAAAACTTGTGTGAAATGAGAACAAATGGTAAATTCTGATTATTCCATACACACACTTTCAAAACCACTGCTGCGCAACTAGTCTGCCTTCAAGTATCTGCGGTACCTTCCCGGTGCACTCACCAACCCTTCCACCTTTTGTTGTAGCGTGCAGAACACAAAAATTGATGGAGTTAAAGTGCTCTTCAGATAGGCCGGCAAGCATCACGTTTAGACCTTTAATGTCTCCAGATGTGTGCAATTTCAATGTGTTCATCCTAACTAACCCAAACAAGGTGTATTGCAAGATCCAGAGAATGTCTAATGGCCATGTAAGAATTCATCTCACAGCAAGTCTGTGGTATTATTCATATCAAGCGTTGACTGAATAGTACTTTGAACTCACAAATCCATAAATCTTTATCCACAGTTCAAATGAAACACTGCAACGCAATCATGAACTCTACTTCAAGTATTAATATACTTGATCAGATTTTTGTGGCAGCAGTGAATGCTCGTGCAAGTGCTGAGCATAATGAGTCACAGATTTCTCAGTTTAAGAGACACCAATCCCTACCTTGAAAGCACTTGCCACTTCTGCACAGCTGGACCAGATACAAGAAATTGGGTCAGTTCACAGGCAATGTGAGCTGCAGTCCTCAAACCATCTTCCAACGTATTTTAGCACTAGGCCTCAGTTGAGAGTTTCTACCTTATTCCCATGCTTATCTGGTTAAAACCCATATCTGCTTTTTGGTCAGTCATCAATTGTTCCAATAATATGGCTCAAATTGAAGGATACAGTGGCTTTTTAGAAGTTCACATAGGAGTCTCTGGCCAAGGCCAGTATTTCATTGGTTCTTGGTTGTCCTCAAGGCTGGGGTGAGCTGTGCTCTTGAACTGCTGCAGTCCATGAGCTGTAGGCAGACCCGCAGTGCCATTCCAGGATATCAACACAACAATGGAGGAATATTTCCAAGTCAGGGTGGCACGTGGCTTGGGGAAAAAAAAAACTGTAGGTGGTGGCATTCCTTGCCCTTCTAGATCAAAGTAGTCATGGGTTTGGAGGGTGCCAACTAAGCAGACTTGGCATATTTCTCCAGTGCCTTTTGTAGACAGTACACACTAATCAAAAGTTCATGGTCACTAGTGTCAATTCCAGATTTACAATTTAATTCAAATTCCACTATTTGCCACAGTAGATTATGAACCAAGTCCCCAGAGGGTCTCTTACTGTTGACTACCAAAGCTGATCTTGTTCACCGCATTTTGTGGAAGGAAGTCTGGTATGTTTTCTATCTCTGGTCCCTCACAGCTGAGATCTAAAACGATCAGGAGGGGGCAGTCAAGAGTCACTGAATTATTTTCAGTAAGGAATTTACGGATGGCCTGGTACTTAAAATTCAACCATGAGACATGGATGTTACTGGCTAGGCCAGCATTTGCCTGTCTCTAGTTACACATCAGAACCTGGTGCTGAGCTTCCTTCTTGAACTGCTCAGTCAAGATGCTAAAGGTAGATTCACAGTGATTTTGCGATTCCTCCTCCTCCTCTTCTTCTCCACCTCCCACTTCTAAATAAGGGGTTGCAAGTTTGCTAGGCCATTTCGGACGTCAGTTATGAGAAGACCACAACCCGGTAGGTCTGGAGTCACATGTAGACTAGACAAGGTAGTACACCACATTTCTACCCCTAAAGAGAAAAGATATTCCAGATGGGCTTTAAAAAAAATAGTTCCATGATCATCATTACTTCTCATTCCAGATATTTAATGGCATTCAAATTCCACCGTCTGTTATGGCAGGATTTGAAAGCCAGTCTCCAGAACATCACCTTGGTCTCTGATTTAACAGTCTAGTGATAATATCATTGTACTAATGCCTCCCAAAGAGGATGTAACTAGATTAAAAAGGTGCTTCATAAAAGCCAGTAACCTATAGGAAATATTTTGTTACAGTACATAAATGCAATTCATAATTAGTGAATATGGCACAATCACTATGGTGCCCCAGTTTTTCAATCACACCGCAAGTTATGGCAGCACAGCATTTCTGGAAAAAGCAATCTAGAATTTCTACATTATTTGCTCAACCATTGAGAGCAGAGTTCACAAAGTGATTAGGTAACATCTACATAACATCAGGTCATTGGTTATGTACTACCACCAGGTTGATTTTTTGTCTGGATATAGCATCTTTTACACTTGAACATTGATTAGGCTATGATCTTGTATGCATAACAGTTAAAAGTTTTCTGAAGGAGGGTCTAGGCCCTAAACGTCAGCCTTCCTGCTCCTCTGATGCTGCTTGGCCTGCTGTGTTCATCCAGCTCTACACCTTGTCATCTCAGATTCTCCAGCATCTGCAGTTCCTACTGTTTCCAAAAAGCACGACCAGTTTAACTAGGTGCAACACATTTACTCAATGGCTCAGCAGTAGTTGCTAACATAGAACTGTTCCATATGTCACTCGCACACAACATTTTTACTATCATTCAACTCACTAAAGGAGTTTTGCACAAGTTGAAATTTGATAGTTTCCAGAATTATCTATTTTATGTCAATATTCCACGTAGATCCACAAGGAAACTGCTGCTCTTATGTTTATGGACATCAATGCAATGTTTGAATTAATCACAAAATTATAATTGAACTACAACTGAAGTTAAGTACCGTGAAGCTTAATTACGTCTTTCAAAGCCAAAAAGCTTAACCCCACAGAACTACCAAGCAAAAAGGGTGCAAGTTCATTTATTATTGTACCACACAAGTAACGACATTGCAATATGGAGCGTATTTTTAAACGCTATAAGCTAGGTAGCGATAAATCCAATCCGGAGGCCTACTAAATCGAAAATGTAGGAGAAAAAAAACAAAAAAGACCCTCCTTTCGAGGAGGCCGAACGGAAAGCTGTAGGTATTTCTTGAAACTGAATTGCAAAGCAATTACTTCAATATAAAAATAGAACAAAATGAAGTAGGCCAAAAGCCTACATATTGTCCCTGGAAACTTTTTCGCAGCGCATCCTAGCAGGAACAGACGCAGTGCGGTCTCGTAGTTAAGCTGACACAGCTGTGAATCTCGCTGACATTTTCCGTGTCGAGAGGGTAAAGTCTATCAACTTCCGTGGACAACCATCCTCTCTACACACATTAAATAGTTGCTAAATCATAGCGTCGGAGACTGAGCTGGTGAGCTCATGGTATCACGTTTGTTTCATCCTCCCCTTTTCACGTTACAAAGAGAAAAAGCAAGTGACAAGTAATGCACCGACCAGCACCCCCACCCCTGCCAAACTGGTAACTTGATGGTCGAGGGTACAAATCAATTATACCAATAAGAGGAATAGTTTAGCACAGTCAAATCCCGAAATAAAATGCAGCGAAAGGCCGCACGGGGATCCCCAAAAACGCACGAAGATCAATGCGTCACTGATACACATACATTTTAAAACCCCGAAAATTAAATACACTAGAAGCATCCCGCGGATTCGTTTCATTTTCCGGGGTGGTTGATGGTTTTCTTTTGGGTGAGGGGGGGTGGGGGGGTGGTGAAGAGGAAGAAGAAAGAGGGAGGTTTCAGGTCTGGCCTTTCTTCATCTTGGGAGGGAAGCACATGTTCCTTTCGCGAGTTCACGAAGAACAAGAATCGCTCAAACAACCTGCACTGGCAGGGGCCGGGACTCAACTACCCAAGCACAGAGGCCAATTTTAAAAAAAAATACACAGTTTGGAGCCGGTGACCGACGGCCTAGACGGGGCTACGTTGTGGCCCGATATCAGAAGCCGCTTCCGAACCGAGAAATGACCCTGCGTGGTGAGAGTAGCAAAAGGGATTGAGCGGGGGACGGGTAGGGGAATTTACGAAAAAAAAAAGAGAAGCAGGTACACTCCGCACAAAAACCTCTCAAAAGAATAAATACACAACTAACAGGGCCCGGGCTCGCCATCGGCCCGTCCCTACTCTCACAAACATGGCGGCCACCATGTCTCCCTCTGTCTCGGGCCTGAGGCCTCCGAGGCCCGACCGACCTAAATCGAACCACCACCATCACCCTTCTCCTCCCACCCCCAAACACATTTCCACCAACCCCCCCAAAAAAGAAAACCCCGCCGTCTTCGCACCATTCCCCTTCGCTTCTCACCTGCCCACCGCTCCTGCCTTCACTTGTCCGGACCGCCGACGGATTCTCTTCACCCTTATCAACCCGCTTTCTCTGTACCTTTCCCCCTCGGACGGCGGGGAAACAACGAGAAGCAGTAGTAGCAGCAGGAGGAGGAGGAGGACACGGCCTCAGCAACCTCTCTCTCTCTCTCTCTCACACACACACACACACAGAGACAGACACACTAACTCCCTGTCTCAGAGCGAAGCCGGCCTGAGGGGAAGGGAAAGAAAGCCCCTTTTCTCAGAAACCCGACTCAGAAAAATTATCTTTCCCTCGCTCTCTTCCCCTTTTTCCGCTTAAAGGCCTCAACTAAGTAGTTCGGGCCTTTGCCGCCGTTTAATCCCAGTCTGCTCCGGTTAAAAGCTCTCCGTCGTCCGATCTTCTCTCCTGGCGGAAAGGGAGAAAGGGGGAGGAGGGGGATGGGCTGCATTTCGAGGGGGTGGGGCGAGCACGCCTGAGGAAGTCCCGCCTACCAGTTGGCGCTTGGGCTTACCGTTGACGCATCCTTCCGAATTGCGGCTTTCTATTGGTCAACGTGTCAGTCAATCCTCATTGATACCGCCCCCCCATCCGACAGCTGGTCTTCGATTGGTCCTCCTACCCGAAAGTTGCGATGGCTCCAACCACCAGAATGCGGCTTCCGGTTGGTCACTGCCTCTATCAATCAGCCGAACTGCGGCCCACCCATTTCCAGCTTCGATTGTTCGCCCCTTCTGTCAATCATCGCCTTTCCCGCCCACCCCCCTTTTAATTAATAGCATGGAAGAGGATTGTAGTCAGAATGTTATTTGTCACGCGCCCCGAAGTTGTGTGTGTTTCCCCTTAAAAAAATGCTGTACTAGAATACATACATGTGCCTATTTTTCTTTGATTTTTGCAAGTTACGTTTATAGATATTTCATTTCGTTTCAAGATTTTTTGAATTTTTTTAAACATAACATTAAAATGTTGTTTTTGCAAGCCCGAGAAATGGACGGGATGTGTGCGGTAGCAAACACGTTTCTAAGGCCATATGGAATACTCTTTAGAACCCTTGTCCTTTACCCACCAGAGAAACAAGATTCCCCCAGCAGCGAACTACCAAATTGTACAAAAGAAAACGGCTGGTTTGTGATCCCGTTAACTTAAGGGCTTTTTCTCTGTTAATCATTTAAGATCGAGCTTGTCTAATTTGAAAGAAAGACCGACGCAACTCTTGGTGAAACCTGCGGATGCCGAGCTCCTCTGAACATCACAACCTCATTGAGATGATAGATTGTTTCGCAATTTTTTTTCAACGCACGCATAGTTTCCCGCCTTCTTTCCGTGTGCCGCAGTGCGTAAATGACGTTGGCATGCACCTGGAAATGAAAGCTGTTTTGCTCAGAGCTCAACGCGCAGGAGAATGTTGAAGCATTCCTGGCGTTTGCAGCTACTCCCCAAACGCAGCAAAAAAACCCTGAATGAACGCAAGAGGCGGGAAGGCGGGGAATACGTCACGGGCAGGGCGCGCATGTTGCATTTGTTAATGGGGGTCGGACACATTCAAATAGGGATGCTGCAAACCCAGGACGTCAAGACGGCCGTTTTAGCCTTTCTCATATGGGATTGGAAATTCGCTGCTGCCAGGGCCTTCTGAATTTCTTCAGCACTTGCCATTTTTATTTCTGCACCAATCCAAAGCTCGTGACATTTTCTTTCCACGCATTCACCTAGGTGTTGAGCTAGTTCAAGTCATTGAAACTTTTGCGTTGTCGTACGCCGTGAGCGTCTAGAAATGCAATAGCCAATGTCTTGGAGCAATTTGGAGGAGGTTTTAGTGTTTACAGCTTATTAGTTGAAGGCATGGTCGCAGATAGTGGAGCAATTAAAGTCATGGATAAGATGCTGAAAGCTTTAGATTGTTATGATTCTTATCAGAGACAGATAACTTCTAAAAAGCTCCAGGTGACTGGGAGGATCACACAACATGATTTCAAGTTTTAAGACATTTGCTGTAACAAACAAGCTTAAGTAAAGGCTAAAGCAAAAGCTAAATATCACCATCTCGGAAGCCAGCCTTCCATCCATGGACTCCATTTACATGGCTCATTGCTGTGGAAAGGCTGCTAACACCATCAAAGACCCATCTCTTTCATGGTAATGCTCTCCTACAACCACTTCTTTAAGGTGGAAGATACAGAAGCTTGAACCGCACCAACTGGTTCAGGAACAGTTTCTTCCCGGCTGTTATTAGACTGATGAATGGACTCTAACTTCAAGAACTGCGATCCTGCTAATGTTGATCTTGCTTGGTGCATGACCTGTGCGACGTAACCTGTTTGCCTCTATCAAAGCTTTTTGTTTCACTCTATGATCTATATGTCCATGCTTACTATGATCTGCCTGCACTGCTCGTAAACAAAGCTTTTCACTGTACTTAGGTACAACCTGAGAATAAGTAAATCAAATCAGATCTGTAGTCTGAAACAAACACACAGAACGATGGAGAAACCCAGCAGGTCTGGCGGCACCTGTTCAGAAAGAAATCGATGACCATTTCCAGTCCGAGTATGACTTCTTTAGAACTGGAAGGTGTTGTAAAATAGATTTTTTTGTATACATTTGAAAGAGACAGAAGGAGCAAGAGGGTAGGTGGTGTAGAGGCCCAATGCGTAAGATAAAGGAGTGGAAAAGAAAAAAGTGAAAAATGGGCTTAAATTAAGGTGTGAAAAGGTGAGAATTAGACCCCTTTATTAAGTGCAAACAAGTACATTTTAATTAAATATTGTGACTTTGAGGCTGTAAAGTGTCGAAGAGGAAAATTTGATGTTGCTCCTTGAGCTTGTGTCGTGGTTTGCTGGAGGATTGCAGCAGGCTCAGGACAGAAATTTTAGTTTGAGAGCAAGGTGTTTATTGAAATGGCAAGGAACTGGAAGGTCAGGGTTATTCATATAGACAGAATGGAGGTGTTCTGCAAAGTGGTCACCTGTCTATGTTTGGTCTCACCAATGTACAGGAGACTGAATTGTGAGCAGCAAATGCAGAAGACTGGATCGAAAGAATTACAAAAGAAATGCTGCTGCATCTATGGCTAATCCACCTCGCTTGCATATCCCTGGATATCACAGACAATTTAGCATGGCCAATCCATGGAAGAAATCTGCACCGACACAGGAGAATGTGCAAACTCCACACAGACAATTATCCAAGGCTGGAATTAAATGTAGGTCTCTGGCACCGTGAGGCAGTAGTGCTATCCACTGAGCCACCATACTGACCCTCTGGAAGGAGTGTTTGGGGCCTTGGATGGTGAAGAGGTGATTGGGCAAGTGTTTCACCTTCCTTTTTGTGGGAAGGTGCAATGTGGGAGCGAGGAAGTGTTTGGAGTCAAGGAAAAATGAATCAGGGTGTCACAGAGGTAACAGACCCTTGGAATGCTGACAGTGGAGGGAGAGGAAGATGTACTTGGTGGAGGTGTACTGTCGGAGGTAATGGAAATGGCAGAGGATATTTTTCGGGCTGCAGGTGTTTTGAGTGGAGTTTCCCAGGGGTGGTTATGGCACACTTGCTTTTCAAGATATATTTTCATGTTAAGGATCTCGGTGTTAAGGATCTCGGTGTGAAGGTGACAATTTCCAAATTTGCAGATGACTTGAAACTTGGAAGAATTGTAAACTGTGAAGAGGATGGTATGGAACTCCAAAGGGTCATTGACAAATTGGTGGAGTACAGGATAGGTGGCAGATAAGGTTCAATACAGAGAAATCTGAGATGGTGCAATTTGGTTAGAAGAACATTGAAAGAAAATATAAAATAGCGGCTCCAATTCTATAGTGGGTGCAAAACCAGAGGGACCTGGGTGTATATGTGTACAAATTATTGAAGGTGGCAGGACAGGTAATGACAGCAGTTAATAAAGCATAACGTTTTCAGCTTTATTATTAGGGACATAGAATACAACAGCAGGGAGGTGATATTGAACTTGAACAAGATCCTCAGCTGTTAGAACTCAGCTGGAAGTACTGTGTACAGTTGTGGGCGCCACATATTTGAAAAGATATGAATGCATTGGAGTGAGCGCAGAAGCAGCAATAGCAGCAGTCCCAACATTGAATCTTGAAACCTATTTGCAACTGGCAGCCAGATACCTGCCCTTGAAATACAACTCATTCAACCATTGCCAATTTATGGTGATACATTCCCATCTATGCAGTCAGCAATGCAATACGTTTTAATGTGGGACGGTATGAAATTCGTTGCTGAAATCCAGGTAGATAACCCTGTCATATCTGACTCAAAATCATGTTGATTGTCTCAGATTAGTTAATTTCCTTTAAGATTCTTTATATAATACTCTCAGATACTATCCCTTCATTGCAAGTCAGGGGCTTTCTAATTAGAATAGAAGAGTAGAATTGAAGTCACATGGGATCTATGGTGAGTTGGAAAAATGGATTATGAACTGACTTACTCATAGAGGACAGAGAGTAGTGATGCAAGGGTGTTTTTCAGATTAGAGATCTGTGACCTGTGGTGTTCTGCAGGGATCAGTGCTGAGACCCGTTATTTGTAATACATGTAAATGATTTGGAGGAGAATGTAAGTGGTCTGATATCAAGTTTTCCCAGGGTAGATATATCAAGGGGACATAGGTTTAAGGTAAAAGAGGGTAAGTTTAAAGGAGATGTGAGAGGCAGTTTTTTTTTCAAGGGAGTGGTAAGTACTTGGAATGCACTGCCAGAGGAGGTGGTGGAGGCAGATAGCAATGTTTAAGAGGCATCTTGACAGATGTATGAATAGGCAGGGTACAGAGGGATATGGAGAGAGTAGAGGCAAAAGGTTTTTAATTTAGAAAGGCGTCATGTGTTGGCGCAGTCTTGGTAAGTCAAAGGGCCTGTTCCTGTGCTGTACTGTTCTTTATTCTGATCGTTTGCTTGCTTTGGATTAGTGCGAACTTGATGGACTAAAGAACTTTTTTCCTATGCTGTAGACCTCCACAACTGTATGGCTTTAAATTATAGTTCGAATCTTTATCCCTTGTTCTATTTTTGACATTGCTATTTTTCAACATCCTAGTATTTGGCTTGCATCTTTTATAACCTCATATCAGCAAGGATAAGGGTTTGTATCACTAACAGGAAATCGACAGTAAACGGGTCTTTTTTTGGGTTTGCAAACAGTAACTCACAGAGTACTATAGGAATCTACAGCAATGAATTGGATGAGGGGGTGGAACTGAATGTAAGCTCGTTAAATTTGCCAATGACACCAAGATAGACAAGAAAATGCCAGAAGATGTAGACAGACTACAAAGGGATATGAATAGGATAACTAAAGAAGGAAAAATTTGGCTTAAGGAGCATAGTGAAATATTTGTTATCCAGCTCACACCAGAATCATGTAGAGTGAGTAAGTTGAAAGTGCCAGTTAACCTATTGTAGGAGGAATCACATGAAAACACCTGTGTGGTTGAGTGCAACTCCAAGAGCACATAAGAAGATTGAAACTATGCAGGACAAAGCAGCCTACTTGATTGGCACCAAATCCACTCCCTCCACCACTGACACTCAGTAACAGCAGAGCGTACAATCTACAAGTTGCACTGCACAAATTTGCAAAAGATCCTTAGATAGCACCTTCCAAACCCATGACCACACGTCGAGATACATTGGAACACCACCACCTGCAAGTTCCCCTCCCAGCTACTTCCCACCCTGACTTGGACGTATTTTGCTGTTCCTTCACTGTTGCTGAGTCAAAATCATGGAATTCCCTCCGTAAGGGCATTGTGGATCTAACTACAGCAAACAGACTGCAGCAATTCAAGAAGGCTGCTCACCACTACCTTCTCAAGGGCAACGAGGGATTGAGGTGGAGATGATCGAGAGCATCAAGTTCCTGGGAGTGATGATCACCAGCCATCTGTCTTGGTCCATCCACATCAATGGGATGGTCAAGAGAATACAATAGCATCTCTACTTCCTTAGGAGCCTAAGGAAATTCAGCATTTCCACAAATCTTAACAATTTTTACAGATGCACCACAGAATGAATCCCAGCTGGATGCATTACAGTGTGGAATGGCAACTGCTCTTCCCAAAACCACAAGAAACTACAGCGAGTCGTGAACACACCCCAGACCATCACACAAACTAGCCTTCTATCCATTGACTCCATCTATACTTCCCGCTGCCTTGGGAAAGCAACCATCATAATCAAAGACCCCTCCCACACTCCGGTATACTCTCTTCCAACCTCTTCCATC